ATGTTGAGTACATGATTCTGGGCGCTTTCGCGCACGGCGGAGTTCAAGGGGTCACGAACCTCACGAAGAAGAACACTGCTACCAGTAAATACTTGAATTCGTTTCTCAAAGACAAAGGCATGTCAGGTGAGTGCTCGTCACTGTGCATCAATCATGGTTCTTCAGTCAAGGTACACAAAGACGCGCACAACATGTGTGACACTCAGAATCACACGGTCAGTCTGGGAGACTTTGAAGGCGGGGGGCTATGGATTCATGACCCCGCAGCCCGAAAGGGCGAGCCCGATGTCGTTGCCAACAAACTCGGTAAGAAGACATTGTATGGCAAAGTTCACAACTCCCGGAACAGACTTGTGCAGTTTAATCCAAAGGAATATCACTGTGTCGTCCCCTGGAAAGGTGACCGTTGGAGCATTACCGCATACGTCAACAGAGCCGTTCCCAAACTGACGGATGATGAAATCAAGAAACTCCGTAGTTATGGGTTCAACCTCTCTAAGCGTACTGCTACCCCNNATCGTCGATCCGGAGGATGATCGCGTTCTTTATGATCTTGTTGAACAGAAGGACGCTCCACGTCCTGCCGAACCAAGGACGAAGCCAAAGATTAAGATCCGTAAGCCAAAAGCAAACGGAAACCTTGAAAAATCAGTCGAGTCCTCAAGCGGATCAGGAGCCCCGGAAACATTCGATGAGATGGTCAAAAGACTTGAGACAGAGGGGCCAACGAACATCGATCCTGAAGAAGATGAGGGCGAGTACCTTAAAGATCTCATTGATGAGTGTGGTACAGACTACGAAACTGAGGAATCGCCCAAGCCGGATGCAAGGCGACCCCCTAGCGGGGAGTCTAGTGTCCCAGATGGTAAGGGTGAATCCGATCCCAAAGTCGCTAAAGGCATTGAGGCGCTTAAGAAGGAAGCTACATCATTGCATCATCTGATGACTCACGTCCCTAAGAATCCCTATTGCTCGGTATGCAACCAAGCCAAGATGTACAAGACCCCAGGCTACAAAACAGAGGGTCTTCGCTCCGTCGAGGCTTCCAGCTTCGGTGATCACATCACCGCCGACCATGTGGTGATCTACAGGGATAACGATTCTGTCGTAGAGGAAGCTAGATTGGCCCTCGTCATCAAAGATGTCGCTACGAACTTTATGTATGCGTACCCTTCAGCCCTCAAGGATGCCGACGAATGTAAAGCGTCACTTCAGCACTTTGTTGCGAGCAAAGACAAGGTGGGTGTGTTCTATAGCGATAATGCAAAGGAGCTCACGAAGGCTTCGAAATCGCTCGGCTGGCGCCATGAGCACAGTAAGGAATATGTCCATCAGTCAAACGCCGTTGCTGAGAGAGCAGTGCGTGCCACGTCCGAAGGCACAAGATGCAATTT